GCCACAAACTCAGCAAATTAATCTCTGTTATTAAATAATGACGAATTTACACGTACATATTACATATGAATGTTCCTTGGATTTTGGAAAAACGGCTGCAATATAAGCCACTAAATTTTGAACACACGTTTATCCTCCAAACCGAAAATATGCTTCCCGAACCTCTTAATTTTGATTCTCTTTTTATTTATTTAATATTTCGCTCGAACTTAATGAAAATTTGATTAATAAACTCAGCGATTTCAAAGAAATATTTTGCTACTCCTTGAAATAAAATAGTTTTATCTACCATATGCTCGTGGCTTGCCATTCGGGAAAGCATATTTAATTAATATAAGACATTTAATTTTTTAATTTATTCTTTCTGTTATTGATTAACAAACTAAATGATTTAAAAGCAATAAACGCAGTTCTTTATATCTCTTATTATTAATTACTAGTTAGTCGCATAAAATTACACTAGCTGGACTAATTAAAATCATTACACATTTTTTCCTATTTTGTAAAAAATGATTTAGGCAGCTGGCAGCACTAGCGTCTAGTGTTAATTAAATACTTAGTGTATAAATGCACTGCATAAGTAAAATGCACATGTGTTTTGAAAGTTTTTAAACGTTTACATGTCATCAAATCTTTTGACAACAAATTTTACTATTCCTAAAAATGGTAAAAGCAACAATAAATTCTGTACCCATTTCTGGCTATCAAGTCAACTATGGGTGGTCTGTTTCTTTGTTGACCTCCACATTAAGGATGAAGTTGAAATTCGACCAAAATTCCAATATTTTAAATACTGGCCCGAAGCCTTTGGTACCAACCTTAACCTGATCCTGGGGAGAGGGTCTTCTCTACAAGCTATGCAGAATCTAGATGCATGTTGTATGAGATCTGGATTCTTTATGAAAGCAGACTGATCGGCCATATTACTCACTCAGATGATTGTAAAATAGGAACTCCTTTTGTATTTTAATGCCTCTAGAGCCGATGCTTTCTTACAGACTTACCCAGAATACAAATCTTACCCAGCCCAGTAAATGACGCCGAGGAGTCTAACAATGATAAAAACTATAAATTTTAAACGCTTTAGATGACAATATATTACAATGTGGTAATTAAAAGTACTATCCTTCTCTTTCTTCGCATCTGCGAGTTTAGATTCCAAATACTTGCGGAATAAATTCTTCTTTTATTTAAAACATTAGGCTTTCGTGGACCAGCTTCTAAAATCATAGTGATAAATGTGATAAATCGAGACAACAAACGATCACGTTACGACAGCAGGTGTAGTATAACGAATACGCTGCGAAATGAAGGTATCAAAAAGTTAAATGTAAAGACGTTATGTTTCCTCAGCTCTTCAGGTCCAGACACCACACTGCTTAAATAATAGCGGCAGCTTCCACGATAAATCAGAAAGCATTCACATTTTGTTCTAATATTTATACAAAACATGACACAAATAGTGGTACAAAATAGTTGCAACTTGCAAATGGAAAGAAGCAGAGTGGTATCACATCAGGGACAGTTCACGTGTTTCTTAGGTCGTACTTCTCTGAGTCAGACGCAAACCCCTTCAATTCTTAGTTTAAAGTAACTGGCTGTGACAGCTAATAGCAATATATTCCTGCAAAGGCAGCCAGATTCCAATACTGCCATATAAATGTTATTTCCTTCTCCGCCCACCGAGTGTTACATAGCTTCTCCGAACATACTTTTTTATATTTTTTTTTACTCTCTGCAGTTTTATAAATTCACGTTAAAAGTGCATACATATTTCACATATATTAATTGAAAAGGGAAAAATTTTATTTATCATTGCCCTAAATAATATTATGAACAGAAAGAAGTAAATAAAATTTGAAATAACCTTAATTTGGGGAGGGTAAACAATAAACTTAGAAGCGTCATGATTGTAAATCCGCTGCCAGTCATGCGCAACTAAATAAAACAAATGTGGCCTATGGAATCTTATTGTGTCGTTAATTTTGAGGAACAATAGAAATGAAAGTAAAAGAATGATGAAAATAAAAGTTATAACATTAAATTCATTTGAATTTCTCTTCAGGAACTTTGATTAAAAAGCCCATCGCTATTTTTAGCAGCCCACGATTTTATGTTTTTTTCATATATGATTAATAGCATTATGGGAGCTTAAACAATTATTTTTAATTTTTTAAAGCATAAGTGTTAGCTTGAAGGTTTTTCTTATAATGTATATCTCATTTTTATTTGCTATTATATGGAAAGGGAAAAAAGAAAAAAAGAAAATTACTTTCTATGATAAAAGGAAAATTATTGCCTCTAATTGGCGTACTAATAAAATACATGATGTCTCTTTCTTTCAAATTCTTCTGATCTATTCATATTGTAATATTACACTTAATCTATTTAACTTTCTTTTTCAAAATTTTACCGCTAACGATCACCATTAGTGGATCCTTGATTGATTTCGGAAAAAAGGCCAAAATTCAGTAAATTACATTTGATATTCCCAACGAATTCCAATTGGGAGAATATTTTCCGTTCTAGTGAAGATACAAAACCCGAAAAGCTATTATATGATTAGTATGCAAGGCAGTTTCCAAAATGTCCATAAAAATCACTACAGCCTTATTTGAAAAAAGCACGCCGCTGTGAAATAAAGGCTTTCTTCTTAACCCAATTATTATTATTTTTTTTTTTTTCAGAATATACAAGTCAAGCTTTCCAAGAATATGTTGAATGTGAAAAGATCAAACCACAGAGAGTAAGTATTACTACGTTACTTAAGCTCTCTCTAACAAAAAAATTATAATGCATTAAATGGTTATTAGAAAAGTTAACATAGTGATATATATAGAATGTAAAATGTAAAATATTGTTCATGTTACTATATAGAAAAAGCAATCTAAATTTAAGCAAAATTCAAATTTAGTTTCATCCTGATTTCGTAGATGAACTGTGCGTATTTCGAAGGAAACTGACTCGCATCTTTATTCTTCAAGAGGCAAACATTCTAAGGTACCTTTAAAATGTCAAAATATCGCAAAAATATAATACAATTTAAAGATAAATTCCTTTATAAATAACCAGTATAAGCATGAAAATTTGTATGCGTCTTTGATGCCTTCGATAGTGTATTTGCTACTTTTATTTTATGTTTCAAATAAATAAAATACATTCTTTGTTATTCACATAATACTGAAATATGCTCTGCGATCAGCAATGTGGATAAACAAATCAGTATTTTTACCTCTTCTTTTTTCTTTATTTTAGAATTTAAAAATAATGTACTTTAACACCTACGCTAAAAATAATAAAATTATATTTTCTTAAGAAAAACTAAGTTAAAAAAAATTGTTGTTACTCCATAATAGATCTTTTCACCATTAAAATTAAAAATTATTTCTAAAATTTTTAGGGGAGAGGCATAGTAATTGCTCGTTTGAAACTCACTTAGAGATTATACAAAGTGTTTCCGAATTCAACTGGGAAATTCAGAGGAAAGATCGTAGGCATCAAGAGGAGGAAAATTGCCATATAACATGGGGTCGCAAATCATATCTAGTGGGTGGAAATCGCAAAAATATACGTCGAGAGGACAATGAGCCTGAAGAAGAGTGTGGCCAAACAAATACAAGAATTAGAAACACTGCGGTCTAGAAGAAGAAACCTTATCGTTTGTAAATATCTTATGTGTATGGGTAAAATAAAAATAGCGAGCAAGTCTTTATTAGCAGGCATTGCAGAATTCACGGGTGTTAACTTCATTCGGAAATAATATTTCAGATTACACGAACGAGGAATATGCGGAAATGCATGTGTTTTACGGTCTAACACTAGAATTACGGAAGGGGTCATTTTGACACCTAGCGAACTTTTATCTCTGACAGCTCTTCTTTTTCTTTAGCAAATATCCTAATCTTTTCTCGACAATTCCTAAATCATTGTGATTTACGAAATAGTAAAGATTTCAAGAAAATCGTATTTTTATTTTAGCCCTAACAAATTATTATACCTAGAAATACGGCAGGTGTCATTTTGACCCCTTTGAGAGAAAAGAAATGTGAATACATTCCATTGTATTATCTGAACACTGTTACTTCTGTAAACTATTTTTATTTGCACTTGCTAAACAAAATACAAGCAAAGAAAAAGAATATAGTGGGTCTGCGTAATTTCACATTGCCAGTCACATGATTTGAAATATGTGCAATACTTTTCTTTGTGGAAAGAAAAGAGGTTATTACGAGCTGAACGTTTGTAGATTTTTCGTAGATATTTTGTTTATTATTCATAACAAGTCTTAGTGGAAAATTTTATTTTGTTTACATGAATTTATTATAGTGACGTACTAATGGCGCGTAGAAAAGGACTAACGCATGAAGAAATCGTGAAACTGATGCAAAAACTATCTGATGCTGATTCTGGTTCTGAAATCGAAAATAATTCTACAGATGAAGATGGAGATGAAACATCTTGTGATTCTGAATTTATTATAGAGAGTAATCAGGCAATATCATCCTCTAGCTCAAGTGAAATTACAAATGGATTTGTTTCTACGAGCTCAAATTCTGCCGTACCTAAGAAGCCCAAAGCGGGAACTAGTAGACGCTCAAAAGGGAATATGAAATTCAATGTAATTCAGACTAACACTTGTAAAGAAATTGCTATTGATGGAACTGTATGGAAAATAGTGGAAAGTAGAAAATACTTCTGATCGGCGACCCTTGCAAAATATCATGCGAGAAAATCCAGGTTCGACATCCTATGCTAAACGGTCTGGTAAAGCTCTTAGTGCGTGGAAGTTAATAATAAATGAAAATATTTTACGCGTCATAAAGGAGTGTACTGATGCTGACGCCAAGTGTAAACTACATAATGACTCTTTCACTATTTTATTAACAGAACTGGAAGCATTCATAGCGTTGTTGTGCGTAAGGGGGGCATTAGCCGCCAAGGGCTTACCAATTCTTAGTTTGTGATCCAAGACTCGGGGACCAAAGTTTTTTCACGAAACTATGAGTAAAGATAGGTTTCTGGAAATTATGAAATTTCTTCGTTTTGATAATAAATTGACAAGATCTTCACGTTTGCAGTGTGATAAATTTGCACTAATATCCGAGGTATGGAATACTTTTATAGACAACTGCAAGCTTTGCTACAAACCAAATGAAAACATTACGATTGATGAACAGTTATTCCTTACAAAAACAAGATGCCGTTTTTTGCAGTATATGCCTAACAAGCCTGATAAATTCGGAATAAAATTTTGGCTAGCAGTAGACGTTAGGACAAAATACGCATTAAACAGATTTCCATATTTAGGAAAAGATGAAATGAGACCAAGTGATCAAAGTTTAGGAGAGAACGTAGTAAATCGTTTAGTTGATCCTTACAAAAATACTGGCCGAAATATAATTACAGACAGTTTCGTTACATAAGTAAAACTTGCGAAATCCCTAAAATCAAAAGGATTGAGTCATGTTGGAACAGTAAATCGCGCAAAAAGAGAAATTTTCTCTAGTTTCAAAAATGTAAGAAACGAAATTTTTTCTTCAGTTGTGATGAAACACGACTATATAACATTTATATCATATCAAGGCAAAAGGAACAAAAACGTAGTTTTGTTAAGTACACTCCATTCATCAGTTGAATTTGAATCTAATGAAAAGAAGGTTCCTGATGTAATACAGTTTTACAATTCTACAAAATTCGGGGTAGATGTTTTGAATCAAATGGCAAGAAAGTACTCTGTGAAAGCACTATCACGCCGTTAGCCAGTACATGTATTCTACAATATTTTGGACTTAGCAGGCATAAATGCATGGATTCTGTATAAGGAAGTTACAAAAGAAAATATCAGCGGAAGGGATTTTCTATTGCGTTTGGCAGAAGAACTAAGAGAAGAATATATATATATTAAAAAAAAAATGTGTTCTCTCTTCAAGTGGCTTTGTGGATGGACAAGATTTGTCAAGTAAGGAAATGCAAAGGTAACAAAACTTCTAATATTTGCGACAACTGTAATAAACATGTATGCGGATATTGTACACAAAAAATCAAAAAGATAAGCGTGTGTGCTAATTGCCGAACTGACTAATATATTATCTGTAAATAAAATACTTCTATATATTTCTATTTCTATGTGCTCTTTATAGCAAAAAGTTTGTTTTAAAATACTTTAATATTTGGATTAAAAACCAGTTTTTTTGGAAAATTTTGCATGAATATTAATATATTTTATTTTCTGTGTTTCTGAAATGTAAGCTATCGAAAATGAAAAAAAAAATTACATGGAAATATTTAAATGTTTGTTCATTATTTTACTACATACCTGCAAAGTCTCTATATTCTTTAAAATAAACTGTAGTTGCCATAAATTGCGTTATTTTAATTTCTTTTTCACAAATATATTATATCATATAGAGAAATATGCTGATATCTTGTCAAGGGGTCAAAATGACACCCGCCGTAATTCTAGGCATATAAAGACCACCGTAATTTTAGTGCTAAGGGAAGAAAAATTTACGAAAGATGTATTGGTCTCGTGTACGATGACTGGTTGAATTATTACATAGTTACGCGTCCAAATATAACGATGTTGCGACGATCCGTGTGATGTAGTCCCGGCTACGTCGTAATGGACGCTACGAAATGCCTATTATATTACCTTTATGAGTGTCAACTGAAACTCTATCCGACATTATTATTTAACGAGTGAATGAATAGCAAAAAATGAATCTGTCAGCTCCATCCTTACATGTCCCGATTTCGAATCTTGACGATTGTGCGACGATGCGAATGATGTGTTTCTGTCTACGACGTGTTATACGAGACTGTTCCAGAGAAATATTTAGCATGATGAAGAGGACAATTCTATAGCTATAGCTATGGTGAAGGTTAATATTAAATGTCTGTTTTTATCTTACTCCGAGTAGAGTGTCGATCAAGTTATTCTTCAAGCGCCGCGCAAATTTTTTAAAGATTTTTCCGGAACCTCGAAGTTTGCTAATATAAGTATTCTTCTTTTCCTCTTAACGTATAGTAATGGATGTTTTAAGATTTTTCTCTTTTAAACCTTAGTTAGGATTTAAACAAGAAACCTCATTTAAATCCTAACTAGATCAAGTTAATTTTTATATGACTGTTACGAATTTGATATCATAACAGAGAATGACATGCTCATATTTGTGTAAACTTAAAGAAATACTAAAAATTGATATCGTGACATTTATTCTGTAGAGACATTAGGAATTTTTTGAAACCATGAAAGATGAAAAATGAACAATACCCTCGCCAGGACTCGAACCACGGACAGCTCGAAATACGCGTCGAGTGTGCGAACCACGAAGGCATGCTAAGAAGGAGGGAGAAATACCTTATATATTCCCCCTTTTAAAATGTGACTGGGGATTACGGGACCCAATCACCAAATCCTGGTGGTGGAGAATCATCATCCTGCATCTTTTTTAATTCGGGTGCCACTGTAGAGACATTAGGAATTTTTTGAAAGCAATGTAGATGAAAATGAGCAATATCCTTCCCGGGACTCGAGCCACAGACCTCTCGAAATACGCGTCTGCTGACCACTATACCATGAAAGCATGCTAAAAAAAGCGGAAGAAATACCTTATGATTCATTTATTTATCTGTCTAATATAGTACAACTTACAAAAACCTAACTTATATTTATCATGATAGAATTGTAGTGATTATATATTTGAGACAATGATGAGAAAGTTAAGAAATGATATTAATGCCCAATATTAAATTGCTCGTCTGTTTAAGAAATCAAAATTGCGTTTATCAATTTAAATTCGATATAATCATCAAAAAACATTTCACAACATTACGCTACACTTTTAATTAACAAATTACTAGAATTAAGTAAATATATCTTTTAAACATTTATGAAACTATTTATCTGATCAAACTATTTTGCATATCAAAATCCCAAAATTTTACCGTAGTTTTCTTTTGAATTTTAATATGTTGTTTTCTATGTAAAAACCTATGCATATGAAAACATATGTATGTTGAAACGTGAGATGATTTAATTCTGAATATTTTTTGGAAAACACGAATATCTTAGAGAAATTTTTAATATAAAATCAAATCACTAAGCTTATTATTTAAGAAAAGAAACGAAAGCCTCTTTAAAATGTTAAAATCATTGCATTTAAGCATCTCTTCCGAAGAGCTGTAGATTTGTGATTCTCAGTGATGTCACTTAATTTCCTCAGGTGGTACACGGTGGCATATTTATCTTAAACAAATGACCCTATCCTTCTTTTCTTCAGCTCTGTACGTAGGCCCAAATCAGGGTGTTTCCTTTAAATAATTTCTCAACGGAAATACATCTCTCCTTAGGTAGCTTTTCCGTGCTTTCCATAACCTAAGTAACCCAACTAAGAGATAATAATTAATTCTATGCCGTATATGCCAAATTTCCGTCATAAATGTCATTACATTCATTATCTATCTGTACTATTATAAAATTCCCTTATTCCAGTTTCATTATAAGGTATTTTCTGCTTCCTTTCTGCATGGGTTCGGGGTGTAATTGGAAGCGTAATCGACTCATATTCGAGAGGTTCAGGGTTCAAGTCCAAGAGAGGACACTGCGCATTTTTCACGTCTCCAGCATCTAAAAACCCTAGTGACTCTACAATAGTCTAATAATCTCAGGAAAATGTCTCTGTCATAATTCCATTATGGGTACAAATAGTATCTTCCGATGCTTTATGTCAAAGATAACATGTAATTTTGTGCTGTCATCTTACTTTCCTTATGTCAAAGACATGGGGAATATTCTCAGACTCCGATAAATTGCATTCTATAATATATAACTTCGGTGCTTTCTTTCCAGTACTCATGAGCTTGAGGGCTGGACATTTAGCCAGAACTGGAACGCTTACATTTCAAATATAAGGAAATATCAAATTCGATTACAGTTGATAAGATTTCGAATTAGTAGTTATAATAAGGATAAAATTATGTACATATTCTCATGTTTTCAAGCGCAAGAATGACCGATTTCTTTCCTCTTTTATAGTGCATCCAAAATTACAATAGATGCATGGAGAAGACTATACCTCAGGCATCTAATCAAAAAGAACAAATGGCAGAAATCTGCAAAATTCCAGAACTTTTGGAAAAGGTAAGCATTTTCGCTTTTAGTTTGATAGAAAATTATAATGCTGTATTAATTATAATGCTGTAATTATAATGCTGTTAATCACTTAAGGTTAATTACTATTCTCCTTCCCAAATTTTAATCTAGGATTTGCCGACATGTTTCAGAAAATATGTTTGTTAGCGCAAAGCACTCAAAAAGCCAGGCAGCATTTAAATTAATAGGAGATGAAATACATTTACACTTCAGAAGTCGCAACAGTAGCACAAGTATACATTATACACATAGCTTATCCTCAGTATAACAAACCGTTGTAAACATAGCGGTATTTAGTTAAATAATGTGCATTTCAGAAAAAATTTTCATTGAAAACTGTTGTATTTTGCAAGCTTTTGTGACCTTTTATTCTGCAAATAAAATTACGAGTATAAGCTACTGTTATATAATTTCGAAGATGGTACAGGAAATCTATTTTCTGTCTTTAGTATTGCATTGATAGTATTTCAACACACATAAACAAGCAAATGAATTATTCACGTGCAAGTCATGAATACATCTTTCGTAAGCTACTGCGAAAGGTAATGATTAGCATTTTCAACGATATAAAATCACTGAAAATATCAATGAGGTAGGTACTTAAAAGAAGTCCAACGTTTCATGAAAGGACTACTCGTCGCCATCTGTAGTCTACAAGATTTAGAATTCAGAGATTATTTCATATTCCATTAATCTAAAGTAACTTCTTTAAAGCTCAGCGACTGGAATAGACTAGAATGGGCCACAAAATTATTACTGCAGATAATAGATACACCTTTATATCTTTTGATGGCGATCATGGCGAAGAAGTATTGCAACAAAATATTGCAAAAATATCAATCAATCAACGTTTTTCTTCAAAGCAAACTTTGATCTTATTCAGTCATAGCATTTATGGAACATAATTTGCGGGCATCATTGACTATTTGTTTAACCTTGTAGCTCACTTATAAGGACTCATGTAAAGGTGGTCTGACCGGCGCGGCTAACTTTCATAAAGGTGCTGGCACCATTTTGCAAGTTGGCTATTGTTTACCAAGAGACAAAGGGGCGCTGGTATGAAAACACAAAAGATCTCGGCACCTGTAGGATGTTCAGTTTATATTATGAAGAATGCAATCACCATTGGAGACGCCCATATTCAGGTCTTTATTTTAGTGAATAGTTACCAAGTTACATAAAGTTGGTGGCATCGTTACGAAATCATCGAGGAGTGGGACATGAAAATTTCTCTCTTTAATGCTTTTGCGGAGTTTTAAGTTTGTATTTTGTTTTTACCCTATTGCGGAGTAAAGAATTAGATCCAATATGTTTATAATTTACGAGGAGTTAAGACCATGAGTTTAATGCGTTTACCATTAGCTTGCCTTCGACCTTTATGGAGTGCGGAGGGCGTTATTAAATCTTTTTCGTCCAATGAGTTTATTTATTTATTTATTTTTTGTTTGAAACTTGCTATTATGATTAATGTCTCTGATGTTTTAAACCATCGATATCGGGTGAAAAGCGGACTTCCGGTCACTGGGGCATCAGGGAAATTTCTGAGTTCCAGCTATCCCCATCCATCCCTGCTCATGAAAGGTCGAACCTTTATTAGGTACCTTTGTATGATAATCATTGTTTCAAAGTAAAGTTTTACCACCTGCTTCAGAAAATAAATGTTTTCCCCTTTTTTGATCATTTTGTGTTTTTACTGGTATCGCATAGATATAAGTATGATGACGACATATAAATCGAAGCAGTTTATACTTTTATAATGATGTCACAGAATTTACTCGCGGATTTTCTCCAATTATTTTACTAATTCCATAGTATGAAAATCAAGAGGGGAAAATTATACAAATGACTTAATTTTTTTAAGAACTCAGGAACAGTAAGAGCAAATGAAAAGCAATCATAGATAAATTACAAGTATCTATTACAACATTATTATTTTAAAACATAATTCCGTTAAAAATGAGTAATATGTAATACTAACATTGCAATGCAATTAACAAAAATAGAATAAGATATCTTCAATTCTACTTCCCTGTAACTTGTCTCGCATGTTGTTATAGGTGTCTCGGCTAATCCTTAGGCCTCAAATCCTCTATAACGAATTATAAAAGCTGAATGCGCAGTATACTGAATGTCAGTTCATATAATTTTCTCTATGATTATTCGGTTCTTGTATTAAACTGGAATAATGTTCAACAGTCAGAAGAGAAAGCTTCAGCGTAAACCTCGCAGGTAGTTTAAGAGGTTTTTGTCTTTGTCAGTAAGGCGAAAATAATTGCTACGTCTGATGCTACGTAATCCCTTTTAAAATTTAGGGGAGCTCGTTTTCTAAACGCACTGAGAAAGAGGAAAATTGCGCGAATATTTTTTAATTTTAGAACTTGGCATTAAAAGGCTGGGAGGAGAGGAATATGCGAGAAAATACAGCAGTAGGTTGTCCAGTAGAAATCTGAACGCTATAGGAAACGTTTTATTTAATTTTAAAAATTTGTCAGTACAGTGATCCCTTGTTTATTGCGGTTAATGGGGACCAGAACCTTCCGCGAAAGCTGAAAAACCGCGAAGTAGGATTTGCCCTTAGGAATTTTCCTGTGTGCGAGTACAAGAATGTTTTAATATGTAAACAGTATTTATACTTTACACATTTAAGACAAAAATTACAACAGTATACGTATTTAATTAAACGTGTCAGTGCTAATTAATAAGGTTAATTGCAAAACCATATACAGTAATAAACATTAATCAACACTGCTTTCTGAAAGAGGCAAAGGGTCTTGTGTTGGTGGCGGAGGATTGGATTATTTAATTATGGAAAAGCACACGAGGGCTATCTGCTTAAAGGGAGGGATGCCTTCGTGGAGGACTTTCTAAGGGAAACTGGCTCGTATACACGTTACACATGGGGAAAACCACGAAAACGCCCATGCAGCCAGCCCGTTTGCGAGATTCGAACCTCGTACCGAACTACCCGTGTTCAGCGTCTTTACCGCTCGGCCGCTGGTGGGCCGTTGGTGGCGGAGGAGAGTCTCTCATTTGACTCGTAGAAGATTTAGGCTCACTCGGAGACTCATGCTGCAGGCGTGGACGGTAGAGCCGGGGGTTTTACCTTGGAGAGAAACATGGTGATGGGTTGTTGTCGCTTTGTTTTTTCTTTTCCTTCAAAATTTCAACTGCACAAGGACATAACCTCGTCAGCTCGACTTGCTGAACTCGACAGCTTGAACCATATTGTCGTGAATGTCTTCTGCAAATTGTTGCATCGCTCTTGCCATGTTGCACAATTGTTGCATATTCTCCAGGGTAAGGACACACTCTTTAGTTTTTCTTCGTTTTCTTCCTCACTTACAGACTTTGTCATCTCAAGGAGGTCTTCATAGGTCAATTGGTCCGAGTGGCAATCGATAAGGGCGCTGATGTCTATTTTTGTCATGTCGACAAATCCTTTATTCCTTATGATATGAGTCAGCCTCGCCGCCTTCTCCAACGCTGAGTGATGAACTTCTTCAGAAGTGAAGCCTAGATAGTCGTGCCCCCCGTTCGGCAATAATTTCTTCCAGCTAGAATTTATGGTCTTATTCTTCATGTCCTTTAATGCTCACTGAATATTAGACAAACATGAGGCAATGTCATAACTGCGCCAGTATGCTTTCCAGGTGAATTCTTCATTGGCATCGTCAACTGCCAAGATGAGGCCCTCCATCGTGGAGCGAGTGTGGAGTGCCGTAAAGGCACGAATGACACCTTGATCCATCGGCTGAATTAGAGATGTAGGGTTCGGGGGCAGAAACTTTCTCTGCACACCGTCATATTGCAGGTCCGTTGCATGGTCTCCTGCAAAGTCCATCAGGAGAAGGACCTTAAAGAGGAGACCCTTTTCAGCCAGATACAGCTTCACCTGGGGAATGAAGCAATGAAGGAACCATTCAAGGGTCAGAGCTTGCGTTATCCAGGCCTTGGAGTTATGCATTCAGAACACGGGCAGAACAGAGCCGAAGTTTTGTTTTCAGTGCCCGTGGATTTTTGGCTTTATAAATAAGGCTTGTCTTAAGCATAAAACCTGCAGCATTGCCAGCCATAATGACAGTCACGCGGTTTTTGTGAGCCTTGATGCCTGGCCTCTTCACTTCGTCCTTGAAGAGGAATGTACGCGAAGGCATACTCTTCCAAAAAAGGCATGTTTCATTCATGTTGAAAACTTGTTCAGGGAGGTAGCCTCCCTTGCTGATGAGGTTAGGAAACTCTCCCTCCACGCAACGACAAACAGCATCGTTGTCAGCAGAGGAAGCCTCACCATACAGAAGAACGTTTCTGAAGCCGAACCTTTTTTTAAATTTTTCGAATCAGCCTTTGCTGACTGAAAAGCCTCGTCCTCGAGGAGCCGAATCACTCCTTGCAGCACTATTACTGGCTTCATCACCTTTTTCAGCCTCTTCATTGTCGTCATCGGGGAAGATTTGGTCGTAGAGAGATTTGGCCTTTGTCCTGATATTAGTGTCCAAACTCACTGTCTTTTTCCTGCAATCAGCAATCCATAATGCCAATGCAGCTTCCATTTTCACATTTCTGTTATTACGCAGAGTTACCGTACGTTTCGCTTCTTTATTGAAGATTATTGAAGCAGTTTTGCGGCTGTTTGCTTCCTCTTTCTTGATGTGTCGCACTGTATATTCATTCACCTCGTAACGGTGTACCACAGATGCATAACTTCTGCCCTCGTTGATCATATCTAAAAGTTTTAATTTATCGCTGATGGTCATCATCTTCTTCCTCTTGGGCGACCGGACCCCTCTGAATCTATAAAATACCCTCCCTCCTGGTTCAGAACTCCTGTTCTAGATCGTTCGAGACAGTATTGGGACAATTCAAAACATTTATAACAACAAACAGAACCCGATGATGTGAAAAAAATATCTCGAAATTTTAAGCAGCCGTTAGAATATTTACGAAAATGTCCAGTTTCCTTGACCTGCGACTACAGACTCTAAGACACGCAGAAATTTCTCGAAGTTCTAGGTAATTACAGAAATTTGTAATAAAGTGCCAAAATTTTAGCTAGCTAGCCAAATTACGTCTAATTTGTTTATAAGAAGTGAAACTGGAAGCGCCTTAACTGGGAAGTCAGAACTAAATTGATTGAATGAGAAATGTATCAATAAGTTTAAAGGAAATGCATAAGCAACTGTCTGTAATTTAATAGGCCGTGCAAGGAAGTCACGTGGTATTCATATCAGATATTTTTCATCATAAATTCAGATAGTTCAGTAGTTAGAGAAATCTTTTCAAAGCTTAATGATGGTGTATGACGAATAATTTTGCTGCAGCTTCGGTTGGTTGGCTGTCTTAATTAAGAAAAACTCCATTTCCAAGTAAGAGTTATCTTCATGAAGGACTTCTTAAGCAATTGCTTTGCGTTTCACAAGTGGAACATCGCATACGTGCTCATGCAGCCAGCTTAACCAAAATTAGAATCGGAATCGGGATACCATTCCGTGTTCTGGTCCACTGTACCACTACTGATCTACTGTAGCTTCAGAGTGTGAAACTTTGCACATTGTGAACTATTTCGTGTGCTAGGTGTTTTAACGTATGAACTAAAACAGAGCAACACTTTTTTAAATTAAAAAAAAATCAGGAAATTAAAGTTGTCAAATTAAAAGCTGTCAGATCAAAAGTCGTCAAAATTTTATTCAATAAAATAGAAAAATTTACGAAATTTGACAAAATTTGGCAAAACCAAATACCAGTTGTGGTCAAAAGTATCATAATCTAAACATGTGCAACCACAGCTAAACGAGAGAACAACAAACGCTTAAATACTTTCAACTAGCCAAATTTTCACAAAACTGAACCTTCCGTCTAACTCGCTCTTAGTCAAAATGTATGAGAACTATCTGACGGCAGACAAACAGTCTACTGGGCAAAATACGCCATAAATACCAAAAATGTGAAAACAGTGTATCGACTGGTGAAAATGAGCGCCATCGGAAGAATCCTATGCTTCAAAGTAAAACAGTTATTTTCCTCCGCCATTCATTAACGCTTTGCTTATTTTCAGTTCCTTGTTTGAAGCGATAGTTATTACTATTTTTGGAGGAGGGAAGAAGGAAAACACTAACCAAACAACGCATTATTCTGTATAAATTATATAATTGCAAAAGGTAACATAGACTTGAAAGTGTAATCAGAATCTGAAATACTTTAATTTTCTTTTTAAAAAAAGGAAAGTTAAAATTTTATCGAATAATCAAAAACAATAATAATAATAAAATATAAAAATAAAAAATAAAATCTGAAACTTTCAGATTTTATATTATGCCTAAAGGGGCGTTTTTTTTTTTTTTTTTTTTTTTTCACGGGGGATTCAAAATGGAATTTGAAAAGTGATACAGACATTCAAATTCATTCGACGCAAAATACTGTTAGATATTGTGACGTCTTTGTGTTGCTACCAACATAATACCAGTAAAAATTACAAAGAAACTCTAGCATAAAATATCAGTGCTTGAAGATGCATGCGGTGTTAATGTTAATGGAACGTTTTGAAATCGTTGAGTTTGTTAAAAATTCGTTTAAGTTTTATAAAAAAAAAAGTAGACAATAAAGCAAATTCCAAATTTAAGCCCATATACGAGTGGAGGACTACGTTATTTAAAATTTGATGTCTCTAAGTACCGTTGTTTTTTCACAGTGCGAAAAACGTGTACACATTCATGCAGATTCTTCATTATTTAACTTCTTTAAATATAATGCAGGGCTCTAGTATTTGGTGGCAACAATTTGAAAGTGATTCAGACTTTTAGTGAACCAATGCAAAATGCCAAAATAAGATTAATAGCCCCTCTGAGATAACGCCTTTTGGGCTAGAAAAAAGAAGATTTTTGCAGACTTAGAATGGGTTCCTTGGAGCGAAGTTTGAAAATTTTTTTATTAATTTGGCAAATATTTTAATGAGTTTAAATTTATATATCTTCCCCGTTCTTCTAAACACTATTAATTAGTTAATTCACTTATGGTTTACAAGAAATGTTTTATTAAATTCGCCAGCAGCATTACTGTAGAATGTCTCGAACATATTTCCCTTAGCTGGAAATTTCTCTACCAACATTTTTTTTCATTGTTAATTACAGTAATACATTGGGTTCTTCTCAGTAGTCAGGCACATAATATTGACATAAATATTTTTTTCTGTTTTGCAGACATACGACTGTATCATAGTTGAATCAGAAGCAAGTGAGGTAAGCTAAAATCACCGTATTCGTGCATTCATTTTAAACATCACATTGGCTTTTGTTATGATATGAAACAAAAGGATTTAGCATGCATATGTTTTATAAAAATAATTCTAAAAGATAAATAACAATTAGTATTTGGGAAAATGATCATTGTCACATTGTAGTCATTTCAGAAGTTTTATGCTATTAATTTAATATATCTTATTATAATGTGCTAGGATCTAATAAATTAATATTCTTAAAATTAAAGTAATACTATTTTATTTAAATCTATATCATGCATGATAATGTAGTTAGATTCTTTCCTTTGGGGAGAAATTTCTGTTTATTTTTCGCCTGAATGAATAATGGAACAGTAAAAAATCGTTTTCTATTTTACTAAAGCTTTGAAATTCTTCAAAAACTTGAATTATAGAACATAAAGATGTAGGTCGAATGTCGTTCTAGATTTTTGTTGAAAATCTTTATTTTTCTGTTTAAGATATGCTTTACAAACTAAGAATTCTGATAACAAAATAATTTAAAGAAACATGTCAAAAATAGTAAACATTATATAATAAAATTTAGGTTTTAATCTGTTTCATATGTGATATTTGTTTCTTTACGATATTACAAGATATTTGTTTCTTTTCTCTCTCTTCATTTTTTAGGTTTATTTTAATAAATAATTTAGATGTATTTAATAGCTATTTGCATCATATTTATTTATTTATACGGCCGACTCACTATTGTTTCCACCACGAAATATGCATTACACCAGTATTAATACCTCAAGAACTACCAGGTTACCAGTATTACTAAGTACATATATCTTAATAACTCCAAAAATTACTATTGCCTTTCAAAAGTGAAGCATTTGATACAAATTCTCAGTTGGGAGCAGGATTCTTGATTTTATTGAGTTATACTTATTATCGAAGATATGGCTATATTATTTGTCACAAATTATTTTATCAGAAAACGCACTAATTAATAGAACGGTGAAACATTAGCGTTTACATCTGACAAAATGACTGAATAATGTAAGGAGATTTTCGAAGAGTATTATTTAGCTGATTTTTAAATAGAACAGCTTTGTTATGACACAAAGAATACATGTGGAAGATAGCGAATGCGAGCTTGCTGCTTAGAAGCTTCAACAACTGCTTAAAAGAAAGAGTCAGTTTTCATGTCTGGAAACTGACTTTGAAAGAATTGCTTTTTCCATGATCCTTCCATGTCTGGCTCGCTCTGATATTCATAATTTAATATAGGATATCGTGGTTCTGTGAAGTTTCGGAATCAGTTTTTTAATCTTTTGTGATATTTACCACAAAAATTCTTTTGTGATATTTTTATCTGAAAGACGTTAATGTTTGTTCACATCAGTTAATATCTGAGTCTTTTAGAACAAGATTTTTCTGATATGAAATGTGATACATTCTTTAAACTTAACTCCTATCGAAACTTTGTGATATACTTGAAAATGCTGTCCTGATGAGTAAACTTCCTGTAGCTTTGAGAAAGGTGCGAACTGCTTTTGTATTGGAATGGAAGTTATTGGCTTCTGATGACATTTTGTTTAATGAAGCTATGATATGTGAAAGAAAAGCTTGTCTTTTCCGCCTGTATAAATTATAGACTAAAATAATTTCTTTGTTTACAACTGTTACAATCTTAAATAAATAACTGACACGAATACCTTTTCGTGAAGTTTAAAGACAACCAAAGCGTAACTGAGTTATATCAAACTCACTGCAGCATAACTAACCTTCAAAAGAGAGTGCATTAAGAATTTCGACGAGGGCGTAGCCCATTTCTTGTGAATGGTTTCTGGATAATTAGGCGCAAAACTAAATTTTATTAACTTGAAAAAATCTTGAAAAATTTGCTTAAATGAAAAAGAAATAGATCAAATTTGGAAGTCCTGTTTCGTACTTCTCAAGCGTCTTCATGGAATGAATTATTGACCATTTGAACCATTTGAAAGACTGGCCATTTGAAAGTTTCTAAGACTGGAATATTTGCCATCAGGGTTCTCTTGGTTAGAGCAATTACTTTTTTTTTTCTTTAAGAAAAAGAAGGAGACGTGAAAAATGTGCCGTGCCCTCTTCGGCGGAACTCGAGCCCTGGACCTCTCACATACGCATTGAATTCGCTTCCATAACACCACGAAGAATGTGGAAAAGAGAACAAATTGCCTCATATACTCCCCCTTTTAAGGGGTGACTGAGGATTAGCGGACCTAATTACCAAATCCGGGTGCTGAAAAATTACTGTCCACTATCTTTTAGTTCGGGATCCACTTATAGAGTCTGTAGGATTTTTCATTGATAGGAAACGGGAAAACTCTGCAGTGTTCTCGCCGAGTCTCGAACCTTGGATCTCTCGAATATGCATCGTGTATACTTCCAATTACATTACGAAGGCATGTGGAAAGGAGCGAGAAAATACCTTATATGATATCTTTCCTCAACTCTCTGCTTGCTTATATTTGGAATGGCAACAGTTCAGCAAAAGACGTTCTACATTTTCGAAATCACGAATATCCAAAGATTATTTCGGCAGTTTTAAGGCAGAGTACATTTGCGTAAAGAAACAGGGGCTGAGCGGCCGAGAGTTTCGGAAGAGAAAGAAGCATTTTAGCAGAGCAGAACAAAATCCTTGCAACCTTGATGTGAGCATATGATCCCATTATCTACTTGAACACTAAGAGGATAGAGAATAGAAATTTATCGCCAGCAAAAATCATTTTGCTTACTTATAAATTCGTCTATTTGAAATTCGCCTCTTTAAAAAATATAGCTCCCTAAAATAGTTTAACCTTTTTTTAGTGATAACTACGAGGCTTATGACATATCTAAATCTGTATGAAATTCATAATGTTATTCGTATTTGTATTTAAGAATTTCGTTTTAAAGTAATTTGGAATTTCTTTCTATGATATAAGAGAGCATTCAAAATAATATCGGATTTCATACTTTAAGAATTTTTTTCGTGAATAAGATTTAAATGGGATTTGAATCTTTCGGTATCATTCACGCTTATTTTTAAGAAATAATTTTTCACTATGCATGATTGCCTAGGCAACAAGGTTAGGAGGCATTCACATTTAAGAATAAAACACATTTTAGTACTTATAGTAGTTATATTGTGAATTAGAAAATTGTTTTGAAATTAAATATTTAAATAAGGATTTATGGAAATATGATTTTCTAGCTGTCTATAATAAACGTTAATAAATTTATTTGAATCGAAACTAAATTCTGAAATTACTCGTGTTGGGATATGCTTGGAAATATTTCCTGAGAATTCTTATTGGTTATGAATATTATTTCTAAACCGTCGTAAATATAAAGACATAAAGGTAACACACATGCTTTTGTGAAATTACCTGCCAAGTAATAACTATTAATTTCTAATAAGAAAATGCATAGAATAATATAAGTTGTAATGTAATAGAAGTTTTAAATTTGAATTAATTTTTCTTCTACCTTAGCTAACCGAAGAAGAAATGGAAAGCTTGACGGCATACGTCGTAAGTGTATATATTTTACCTCAAATGAACCAATTCTTTTTTCTTTTCAGTAAATTCCTATTTATGTTTTAGTAATGTTGTTCCTCTAATGCAAATTTCTTTATCTACAAAGTCATACAGTTCTGTTCTTTAGTAATATCTACGTTATAGCTAAGCATATATTTAAAATCTCTAAATTCTTTTTTTCTTGGCATAACAAAGACGTTCAGCAAAACGAAAATTGTTACATGAATAAATCTGCATAAGAAACGTAATTGAAAGGTATCAACTAATTTTAATATCTTACTATAACATTATTCAATGCAACTTTTCTGAAACGGGTTTCTTTTTTCTTTATTTTCAAAGTATTCTGCTTTTAATAAAAAAATTCGTATTTGGTCCAAAACCTGATACCTTCTTTTAAACATACAGTCATATTTTGCCCACATTTACAGGTAACTATTAACTTCATCATAAAAGATTCGTGTTTTTTTTTCTTTGAAGGCTGTAACGTATTTGCATTGCTACGCTACCAACATAATTGACTAATAAAGTTGGTTGTACGTTCAAAAATGGCGAGATTTCTTTAAAACTTCATTACAAGGCATACTTTGATTTTAAAACCTAAAAAACTAAAAGAGTAAAAGAATTATTTTGAAATAAGTCGCATAGAGACAGTTTTGTTTCTAAAAGTTCTGAAAAGCCAAACACGTTTCGAACCGAAACTGTGCTTATTATGAATTTTTTATTGTATTAAAAACAAAGAAGGCTGTATCTATCAGGCATTGTCAAGATCGTTTATATCGTATAGTAAATAATTCAAAAACTGTTTATTAATTTTATATCATAAAAGCTGTGTCATTTCGTGCACAACCGCAGTATTATTTGTACAGCAATATATGCGTACTTATTAAGTAACTAACACTATTAGTGAATTTTAAATGGTCATAGTTTATTCATTATATAAAAAGTGATATTTTATATTTGCAAAATCCATTTTATCCCTGATTTGAAACTAACCATCACTTACACTTCAGAAATGCAAATCCAAAATCTAAGATAACAAATTATTATTACTACTATTATCATTGTTCTTTATATAAAGATATGTTTTAAAATCAGAGGATTTATATACTTCATTGTTTTTGAACTAGAAAAAGATCATAAGAAATTATGTTATAATGCTTCACAAAAGATATGGTTGTTACTTCAGACCAAGCGTATTCACTCCAAGTCTGGTAGGTGTTTGATAGTGGATTATGTTACCAAAGAAAACCAAACTTTATGGCATTAAAGTTTTTATACTTTTATCTCAACCCTTTTAAACGAGAGCAAGTATAGAGGAGAAGGTATTATTTCTAAGAGTTAATAATGACAAATGTTAAAAAGAAGGAACTTTTTTCTTCTTTTTTAATGATGCTTTTTTTATCTCAGTGAAATTGTTATTTCTAAAGTTTTGAATCGAAACGTTTAAAAATTTCGTGGTTTAAAACAAGAAAGATTTAAATGGAGGAAAAAAGCAAATATTCGACTTTTTGAATCTCGAATCTTTGGTCTCGAACGTTTGGATTCGATGATTCGGATGTCCTGTCCTTAATAAAAAGGGAAATTTAAACAGGGATACGAAAGGAATTTATGATGTTTACAAGAATGTCGAGAAAGAATTGTTTATGACTTGTAAAAAATTTATTTAAGATGTTAATAAAAATAATCTCTATGTCAAATAAAAGCAATAGAGATACTTAAAAAAGAACTGAATCTGTTTAATGACGGGGGGGGGGAATAGTGCAGAAAAATGAAGACTCTGAATTATATCCATTATAGTATTTTACTAAGTATTCCTCTACGTATATGCAATCAAAATTCAATTTATTTTTCTAGGACTGTACCCAAGTTGTGTACAAGAATCATTACAAAGAATAATTATATATTATAACATCAAGCAAGCTTTCTTTCCAAGAGCAGCATACCTTGATTTTAATGCAGAGTATTTGTAGTTTAATTCTGAAATGTTAATAAAATATATTTTAAGAAGCATGTGTCTTCTTATTTTATGCTTACAAAATACACTACTTTGTGAAATTTTTAGAATTATATAAATAATGTATGTCACTTAAATGTGATGACAGAAATTTATAGATTAAATTTTAAATTCGCTATAACACTATTTTCATCTGAACAACGACTGAGGGTTTAGAACCTCGAAACACAGAGTTCACGTAATGCTATATTCCCGACGGAACAAGGAACTCAGTCGGGAATGCTATATTCCCGACTGAGATTTTCAAATTTTTTCTCGTGTGTTAAGTGAATTCAGGATAGTTTTCTCTACAAGGTTCTCCACAGATGCATAATCCTCCATAGACAGATTAATTTGGAGTGCTTTGGCCTAGTCAAATAACCAAATCTGGTAAAACCTTTTGGAATACATTGTGTGTAATTTCTCCGCTAGATAGCTGTTATATAAAACAAAAACAGCTCTTACAGAACAAAGAATAAAAATCTAGAAATGTAGTCTATATTCGTGGAGAAATTCATTTTTAAATATCCCCGAACAGTCATTGGATTTTTAAAATCATACGTAATTTAATACTTCAGTGCTTGAATTCATTATTTCTCACCCTCTTGATTTCGGTTCTTTAGCTAAGCTAATGTTGAATGATTGGTAGCCAAATTATGCTTTCTACTCATGTTTCTCATGCTATAAAATATGCTTTGTTTATCATATTGTTACACTGTGTACCATATTTAAATACAGTTTTTACCGAACCGTAATTCATTAATTAACATTTCTATTTAAATATGCCTTTCCTACCATTTTTGTGCATAACAGTGTAATTAAAAGCAAATAATTTCCTACCTTCGAGTAATTTTTTTAGAATACTCCAGAAAAAAAGTCATCTTTAAAAATAACTGATATCCATTTTTGGTCACTCCTTTTCAGGGAACGCAAATCATACAAAGCAACAACTGGAGTTTATATGGTACTTTAGAAATATTTGTAACATCTGAGATTATGTGTTTTAGTTTTCAAAAAGTATATGGTTTTTATCTTCATTTCAAATATTTCCTTTTTAGAGCTCTAAATTAACCTAAATATCCTAAGTTTAGTAAGATATTCTAATTCTGAGAAATTTGTGCTAATTAACATCAACAAGCACATTTTTCTAGTATCATGTCCCTTCATTAATTCTTTTTATAAAAGTGAGTTAAATTAATTGACGCCAGATTTTCTTCTAAATCTTTTGTGTCAAATTTCGATTTATATGAAAATAATCAGTATTATAAAAGTTTGCTGATCTAGTATTTTTCCACAACATTTGCTGCTGAATTTTTAACCACTATTGACACCTAACATAGCCTAATAAAATATATTTATATAAACACCGCTATGCGACTTAAATTTGAGTATTTTTGGTTAAACGTTTATTCGTGTAAACAGGGTCGAACTGAGATTTTTTTAAGACCCTAAGTATATAAAATATTTTGGAGTTCTAACCATACATTTATAACCGCTTTTTTCCCTTTCCTTTTCTCTCAGTATGGGTTTAGCTGACCATATATTTCCTGGTACAACTGACAATGAGAAATTATTATGGTGCCTTCTTTCCTTGAACAAATTATTACCTCTTCGTGGTGCTTCCTTTTATAGATACGCAAAATACGGGCTTATGCTGCCTACTGATTAATTCAGTTCTGCATCTGAGCACCATTCCGCTGATTAGGCAAGGAAAAATATTAAAGTTTGTGGCTTTGAGGTTCGGATTATAGATCATTCTGGATAATGGACTATACGGATTACGGACTTTGTACTGTATTAATAATTTTCTTTAAAATATAAATTGAATAAAAGTTTCATCAAGTGACCCACCTAATTATATCAGTAGCATCACATGACATTGCATTTAAGAAAACCTTAGTCTTAAAACGTATCTTGGATAGCTGTTTGGTGCATTTTATGGCGAATAACCTAAAAATTTATAAGGAGCCAAATATGTGATCATTCCATTGCGTTGCATATTTTCTAAAACGACGATAACAATATAAAAGTATAAAATTTCTGCGCTTTAACTTCTCAAACTGCCTTCGAACTGTATAATCAAAAACAGCACTTTGTCCACATACTGGACAAATTTTACTAGCAATCTATCATGCCTTCCTTTCTTAAAATTAAAAGAGCGTAATGTAATAAACTTTATCTTTCTCCATTCTTAGCACTTCACTGAAACAAAAGGTAGGTATGCCCTAGCACATGCAAGAATCATGAAACTTGAGCAGAAAAGACCATATTTAAATGTCTATTTTGATCAATGTTATTTCTAGTATAGCAATAGAAAAATAACGAGAAGAAAACGGTCTTCGATTTGAAAGACCGCAGAACACTTCGGAACCCATTAGATCAGTTTCAGAATTTTAGAAAGCATGGAAATAAAAAGAACTTCAAAAGGGGAATGGCACGACGAATTTGAAAACTTTTAGGGCAAAATTAATAAGTGTAATGATTTTTTAAACTGGAGTTAAAAGTTTACTAAAACACGTCGTAACATATTGTGCTATAGTCACCAAAGAAGTAGATCCCAAAAACAATAAGGCCACACTAAAACGTCGCAATACGACCGTTACAACCTAAAATCCTATTTTCGTACAATTAGAATGTAAAAACTCGAAAGCGACGTCTATGTATGAAAGGAAATGAAGGTAAAGCCTAGAAATGGATCTGTTGGCGTCAGTTGTGAAAGCGTGCAATTTCGTGGACATCTGGGCATCTTAAAGAAGACCTAGTGCGATGTCTTTCCAACATCATTTGCGACGAGATTGCTACGTCATTATGACGGTATCCTACTACTTGGTTTGGAAGCCTGAAAGTCAAAACGAGGCCTGATGTGTAGATATAGCATATCGTAACTTAAGGCTAAAAGTACTCTGATGGCTCCGACTCCAATATCTCGGAATCCTTCTCTGTACAAACTCAATCACCATAGTTTTATTACTTTATAAGGTATTTCTCTCGCCTTCTTAGCGTGCCACGAAGAAGCGAAGGCACCCTTGTTAACCCCTTCTTAACAAGGTGCCCGCCTTCTTATCAAGGGTGCCCGTCTTCCCGCCTTCTTAACAAGGGTGCCCGCCTTCTTAGCGTGCCTTCGTGGTGTAGAGGTCTGCACGCTCAGGGCGTAATTGAGAAGTCCCGCCAAGGCGTTGCTAATTTTTCCTCTTTCCTGCTTCCAGAAAAAATACCTAATGTCTCTACAATTTCACAGTAGGTGTACACAATATATGATATATCCACACTTGACCCTAGACCAAAATTTTACCAGGTCGGACCTGGTAATCTACCTGTTAAGTGGCAAGCGATTTCAAATAATTATGGTCGACATGAGCTTAAGTATTGAGATGAATTTTACTGTACCTTCAACAAAAATGTCTTTTTGTGTTGAGTACAAATCTTTAGTGAAGAGTCTAAGATTAGAGCATATAAATCCGCATGAAAGTACAAGTAGTAAATGTTACATATTAAGTCATTGCTTTTATTAAAAATATTTTTTTCTTGCTAGGGGTACTAGGAAAGCTATATCTTAAAATGTTTTGAATTTGTAAATATAATTTTGAAAAGTACATTTATTATTGAGAATTCTTAATTGTGTTCGAAATCAGGGATGCCCTTTATCTCGATGAACGGAAGTGAAAGATTTCAGTGATGAAACTAAGTACAGCAAGTGTCATTCCAACGCACCAAATTACAATCACTCCCAGAATGTTGGTGATATTTAGAGGTTTCAGATCATTTTCAGAGTAACTGGTGCAAAGATGGCAAACTTCGAATATAGGCTTGAACCATTTGCCAGGTATATCACCGCCAATAAGTCTCGCTATTCTAAAAATCAAAAGAAACAAAATTTGGCATTAGAAACAAATTAAACAAAAACAAATTGTAAAATTTATATTTCTGGACTTTGCATTTAAGCATTTACATAAAATTATGAAAAATGAGACTGTTATAAAGGCTGTTTGGTATTCAATAACTAGTAATGTTAATTTAATGTTGAGGCATCGAAGACCGTAACATCACTGCTTGAGTCATTCTCAAGTAGCTTGTATTAGTGTATAATTGTATTAGTGTAAGCATAAAAATGCTTACGCTAATACAGTTGCAAGATTTATAATAGAAGAATAATACTGCTATACACTCAAGGATTCGTGAAGATCTGACTTCTAAATTATTGTTAAACATTTAAATTAAAACTGTTGATACGTTCATTAATATTCTCCCAATTGATTAACATATCCTTTAATTTTAAATATATCTACCCGTGCTATGTTTTATTTATTCCCTTCTCGAATTTCAGTAAACTGTCACTTCATTTTTCTCTACTGTTTCCAAATATGAAAGAACTGTTCCTTTATATCATTCCTCTGCAATGCTACTGCCGCAAAACAAACAAACATGTTTATTTTTAAAATTCACGAAACAATACGATTCTTCCCAATCAGTATTAAATTATACGTTTTTCATCTTTTGTTTGAGTTACTCATCTTAGAATTAATATAACAAAGTACAAAAAAAAAAAAAAAAAAGGTACAATTTAAGTAAAAGACTTCAACAATAAAATATGATGTATGTACACTAAAAATATGGCATATAAATTGCAATAAATATACCACAATGTTTAGGGGAATACCCATTAAGGAAGATTCCCTTTCGTATAAGTTCCCGCAGTACGCTCTGCCTGTGGGGCGATGTACGAATAGTAAAGTAATAAACAAAGTAATAAACAATATATAAACATATGTATATAGTAATGCAGGGAGGCATTAAAAATATTTTTAATGCACGTGTATTTAATATTTTTAAAGTTTTTAACAAATAACAAGGACAAAGTAATAAACTTTCCGGGACCATACTTTCAAACTGGGACGTCTGGCAAGTCCATTTAAAGTGATAAACATATTTGTATAATCGTAAACAAATATTTTTTCAAATATCTATCTAATTAATTACTGATAATAAAAACACTTTATGTAACATCTTATTAAAAACTTAAATATTTTTCATCGTGGTCTCACAGCAACGGGCCACACGTAAAACCGTTGATGGGCTCAATGGTGTAGGATTGGGAACCCTTGTATTAGAAAAAACTTGCTAATATCGAATTTATATCAAATACAGAATTAATGCATCAAAATTTTAAACCTTCGGAAGATTTTAAAATTGCTCTATTTTTGAGTCTGGTGTCGGGCATCCCTCCTCCCTCTCCCAGGATATGCTTTTTTGCTTAATGTTAAATTTTACTCTTGCGTGTTTTTCTCCCAATCTAATTCTCACCCATTAAAAATAAGTGAATAAATAAAACATTTCATCTTGACGTTTCTAAATAAGGAAGCAAAATGGAGACTCTTCTCTCATCGATAATCTAAGGTAAACAATAAAGACAAAAAAAGTTCCCTCCTTTTAGTCCTTTTTCAGGTGTCGCCATCTATCGGTAGCTAGTAGAAGTTTAGTGTTTCACATTTATTTGCAAAATGGATGCTCTGTGACACTATTTTAGAATTTATTTAGAAATTAAAGATTTAGAACTTTTAAACATATATGTATGATAGAAAAGATGTAAATATGTAAGATAGAAAATATGTACAGCAAATTTCTGATTTAATAGGCAATATCCCTTTATATTTTTTACTTAAATTCGAGTATTTCTCTTTTCTGCCCTAAAAATAATAACTGTTTATAAGATATCAATTTAAACTGCGTAGTTTGAAATTAACCCATAGCATAAGAATTTACTCATAGCATAGTTTGAAATTAACCCATTACGCTGCAATGCAGGTATGTTTTAGTCAATGAGTTCCCCCCCGGGGGTCGACGTAGAGTACTCTGCGCAGTACTGGCTAGGATCTGTACCTAGGCAGTCTCGGCCACGGGGGTATAAAATTTATGAACTTGGCGGTTCCGGATGGTCCATGGGGTAAGTCTATACTTGCTCTTCATGGGCCGAGAGGTGTAAGTCCTTTCCACCAGGGTAATGGTAGCCAAATAGCAAACTGGTCCATTGAGCGTCTGGTCACTGCTGTCCTTGGAATTCCATGTAAAGCCTAAGGAGAGGGGCATTCCGTGTAGTGCTGGCAGGTAGCCCAAAATCAACGGCCAGTCATCGACCCTAAGTTGTCATTGCCCACCCCACCGTGGTCTCGGTCCGGCCGGGACAGTGGTCTTGACTGGTCCGTGTTTAGAGGTGGGCTCGATGATCGTTGAGCGATCATCAGAGGGTACCATAAAATTGTTAGTGTCTCGGGGGTGTGGGACCCTGGGCCCAGCAGGAGTGTTAAATGTCATCGTTGGGTGACGCTTTCGGGATTTAT